GGAGGCAGAGGCAGGAGACTCGCTTGAGCCCAGGAGTTGGAGGTTGCTGTGAGCTTTGATGCCACTGGCACTCTACCCAGGGGGACAGCTTGAGGCTCTGCCTCAAATAAATGAAAAAAAAGAATTTTAGAAATAAAGAATATGACTACTTTTATTTTTCTCTTATTAATTATTACCAGGATGGCTCTCAAAAAGGGCTGAATTGATTTCTTAAGATGCCTGATAGAGTCTAAAGTTACCAGGACTCCCAACCTCTTCAGATGAGGTTCTAGGGTGGCAAATGATGTCTTTCCAGAATTAATCCATTTCACAGGAAGCATCTCCTTTTGTTACCTGATAGGACAGAGCTATTTCATAGTGATAATGGAGCCCGTGAACGTGCCAAGAAGATCCTCATTGTTATCACTGATGGGCAGAAGTACAAAGATCCCCTGGAATACAGCGCTGTCATCCCCCAGGCAGAGAGAGCTGGCATCATCCGCTATGCCATTGGGGTGCGGCCTCTTCTTCATCACTTCCCCAGACTCAGCTTGCACCTTATGCAGGCAAAGGGCTGGTGGGTTCCTCCGCCTCAGCTGCCTCTCTGCTGTAGGTGGGACATGCTTTCCAGGAACCCACCGCCAGGCAGGAGCTGGACACCATTGGCTCAGCGCCTCCACAGGACCATGTGTTCATGGTGAACAACTTTGCAGCACTTGGCAGCATCCAGAAGAATCTACAGGAGAAGATCTTTGCGGTTGAGGGTAAGTGGGGAATAAGGTTGGGCCTTTGAATTAAAGGGGTCCTGGCCCAGTTGTCCCCCACAGTCCTGATTTGGTCCCTCCCTTTGCACAACTCACTCAAAATTACTCCCCAGAACCCAAGCCCCAGACCATGTTCTCCTCCCTCTGCTGAGTGTCCTCATGGTCCCCTGGCTTCTGGGAACCTAAGTGACCTGTTTCCCACAGGAACCCAATCAAAGACGAGTAGCTCCTTTCAGCATGAGATGTCCCAAGAAGGCTTCAGTTCAGTATTCACAATGGTAGGTGGAGTATGTACTTGATAAACAGATCTCAGGCACCAACTCTGGGCTCGCCCTAGGATAGGACCTGAGACCCGGAAGTAAATAAGAATGAAACCCTGTCTTCAAGTTCACTGTCCAGTAGAAGAGAGACATCCAAGCAGTATGTCAAGTGATGGGAGCACAGCAGAAAAGAGGGGAGCCAAGGTTCCTGATCTCATGGAGTATTCACGTGGAAGGAATTAGCAAACAAGACTTTCAGAGGGTGCTATGTGTTGGGATAGAAAAAAAGAGCTGGTCAGAAGAGGCTGAATGATAAGAAGGGGCCAGCCCTAGGAAAATCTGGGGGGAAATTGCTCCAGGTAGAGGAAAAGGCAAATGCAAAAGTCCTAAGTCAGGAACGAGTTTACCATGCCAGGGAGAGAGAAGGCCTGGCACAGCCGCAGTAGATAAGCAAGGGGCAGCCTGGGAGGAGGGGGGCAGAGGGGGGAGAAGGGCCACCCTGAAGAGACCATAGAGACATGCAGGAAGTACACGTATGTTCAAAGTATCCAGAAGGATTTGCTTCAGAGTAATTTGGGGGTGAGTGGGAGTTGGTAGAAATGAAACAAGATTGGTGGGTCAAGGGTCCTTGGGAGCTCGGTACAGATTTCTTTCTACATCTGTGTATGTTCTAAATCTGCGGTCCTCAACCTCAGGGCTGGGGACTGATCCTGGCCTGGCCTGTTAGGAACCAGGCTGCACAGCAGGAGGTGAGCAGAAGGAAAGCTTCATGTACATTCATCCGCTCCCCATCACTGGCATCACCACTTGAGCTCCGCCTCCTGTCACATCAGCGATGGCATTAGATTCTCACAAAAGTACAAACCCCACTGTAACCTGTACACGTGAGGGATCTAGGTTGTGCACTCATTATGAGGCTCTAAGCTCCCCACCCCCACCCCACCTCCTACCTACAATGCATGCAAAAACTGTCTTCTGTTAAACTTCTCTGTGGTGCCAAAAAGGTTGGGGACCGATGTTGTAATTTATCCATATCAAAAAGTTAAACAGGCCATAAACGAAGTGCAGCGAGGAAATGCCTATGGCTTCCTAGGAGGGCTGAGGAAGACCTCAAAGAGGAGGTGACTTTGAAGTGACTCTTCCAGAGGGATGAGCTGAGTGTTAGAAAGTGAGAAGGAGAGAGAGGTATTCAGGCCAAAGCGAGATTTTCATGGATTTGACTGGGAAGGGTCCTAGGCACCTTCCTAAGGGGGCTGGTAACGGTTTTCCAACAGGGCAATGGCTGTACATTTGAATTTGAGGAAATTTAGTGCTAGGGTGGTTGAAGTGGGGCCGAGGAGAACACTGGGGGAGACAGAGTGGTGGGTGACAGGGGTTGGTGCTGACTGGGACAGTGGCAGGGGGAGATAGATAGAGAGACATTAGGGGTTCGGGGTGCAGAGGCTGCTGGTGAGGGCCAGAGGCAGGCACTTCTTTGGAAGAGGCTGTCTTCTTGTTCCAGCCTCTCTCAGCCCTGAAATCCTTTCCTTCCAGAATAGACCAGTTCTGGGGGCTGTGGGGAGCTTCAGCTGGTCTGGAGGTGCCTTCCTGTACCCCCCAAATATGAACCCCACCTTCATCAATATGTCTCAGGAGAATGTGGACATGAGGGACTCTTACCTGGGTGAGAAAAGCCTGGGGGTGGGGGACAGGCTGGGGACGAGCTGTCTGGGAGGGGGAGAGGCCTGGTGGGGAGGGGCAGACCTTTGTGCTGAGGCCTGGCCCCCTCAGGTTACTCCACTGAGCTGGCCCTGTGGAAAGGGGTGCAGAGCCTGGTCCTGGGGGCTCCCCGCCATCAGCACACCGGGAAAGTTGTCATCTTCACCGAGGCAGCCAGGCAGTGGAGGCCAAAGGCAGAAGTCACAGGGACCCAGGTTGGGTATGGAGGCAGCAGAGGGGAACACAAGGGTCAGGGCGAGGGGTGGCCAGGGGTGGAGAAGGAGAGCACGAAGGGGACCAGAGACCCTGGGGCAGTTCCTGTTGCCTGGGGAGAGGTGGGACCTGGCCCAGAAGGAATGTCTCTGGCAGGAAAGGGGAGAGGTGGGACCTGGCCCAGAAGGAATGTCTCTGGCAGGAAAGGGGAGAGGCGGGACCTGGCCCAGAAGGAATGTCTCTGGCAGGAAAGGGCAGGATGACTGACACTCTGCCCTCCAGATTGGCTCCTACTTTGGGGCCTCCCTCTGCTCAGTGGATGTGGACAGAGATGGCAGCACTGACCTGGTCCTCATTGGGGCCCCCCATTACTACGAGCAGACCGGTGGGGGCCAGGTGTCTGTGTGTCCCTTGCCTCAGGGGGTGAGTGACTAATGGGCACTGGGCTGGGTGGGGTCTGGGGGTAGGGTGAGGGGTCTCCCAGGTGGGGTCCTGACACTGGTTTTGTTCCACAACAGAGCAGGTGGCAGTGTGAGGTCATTCTCCGTGGGGAGCAGGGCCATCCCTGGGGCCGCTTTGGGGCAGCTCTGACAGTGCTGGGGGATGTGAATGGGGACAAGCTAACAGATGTGGCCATTGGGGCCCCAGGAGAGCAGGAGAACCAGGGTGCCGTCTACCTATTTCATGGAGCCTCTGGACCCAGCATCAGCCCCTCCCACAGCCAGGTGAGGACCCCTGTCTCCAGCCTCAGTTCCATCTCCCGCCCCAGGTCTTGGCTTCAGCCCAGGCAGTCTCCTGCCACTAGCCTGAGCAGCTACCATTCCCTTCCTTCTCTCAGTAGCTCCTCAGAAAGCACAAATCACCTCTCCTCTCTTCTTTGATTCCAGACAGCCTTCAGTCTGTTGTGGGTAGTTTACTAGTTAAGAGGCCAGGCTTTGAAGGTCAGACCCCTGCTCACATCCCTGGCCTGGCTGGCCACCATTAGCTGTGGGGCCTTAGGCAGGGACTGACGGCCTCCGTGAGCCTTAGTTTCTTTCCACGAAACATGGAGATGATAAAACCAACACCATTAGCTTCTCGTACACATAGCAGAACGAGAGTGCTAAGCATGCTGGTCATCACATGGTCACGAAGGACTATAACAAATAAATGACCCTATCACATTCCCCTTGCTGGGCTTTTATTTCATCAGTAACCTGCACTCTGGTGATGAGTTGGACGAAAAGAGCTCCCTGCTCTCCGTCTGGGAGTCCTGGGGTCCTCAGGCTGCTTGCTTTCAATTCCTACCCCCTCATCTCTCCTTTTCAGTTTTTCTATTCAGATCTGCCTTGACTACAATCTCTTCCCAAAGCTCTTCCCAAACCTTTCCCAGCACCTTCCTTGGACTCTCACTTCTCTTCTCCCTCTCTGGCCAGCGGATCACAGGCTCCCAGCTCTCCTCCAGGCTTCAGTATTTTGGACAGTCACTGAGCGGGGGCCAGGACCTCACCCAGGATGGACTGGTGGACCTGGCTGTGGGCGCCCAAGGCCACGTGCTGTTGCTCAGGTGACAACCACCCCCCAAATACCACGTGCCATGTGTCTGATCCACCAATGCTGCCCTCCCCTCCTTGTCCTCCTCACAGAGGACAGTGTCCTGTTCCCCTCCCCTGCTTATTCTCTTCAGGAGCCTACCCATGCTGACAGTGGGGGTAACCATGAGATTCACCCCTGTGGAGGTGCCAAGGGCTGTATACCAATGCTTGGAAGAAGTGCCCACCACCCTGGAAGCTGGGAAGGCCACAGTCTGTCTCATTATTCACAAAAGCTCACTGGACCACTTAGGTGAGTTTGCCCCCTAAAAGTGTATTCAGCTCCTCCCCCCATTACAGCCCCCTCCCCCTCACTGCTATCCTCAGGATAGAGTGGGCCCAGGAGTCTAAATCTCACGTCTGTGACTGCTCAGCTGCCCAAGTCAGAAACCTGCACACCTTCCCTCCCCTTCTTCCCACACCCAGGCCTGTAGACTCTGTCTCTGTCCACTTTTGTCCCTCATCCCCTGCCTTCCTCTAGGCCACAATGTCTCTTTCTTACCTACACCAAAGTAATGACACTTGGAGCAATTCTCCTGTCCCTTCTTGCACCCTCCTATCCATTCTCCACAGAAGCACTGCAGTTGATTGGTCCTGAAATGCAAACCTAATGCCTCACTCCCCTGCTTAACGCTCCTCAACTGCTCCCCCTTGGTTTATAAAGACCCAACCCCTCCCTGAAATGCTCTCTCTGATTTGGCCTCCCTGCCTCTCTGGTCTCACAGCATCATCTGCCTTACTATATGCACTTTCTATAAATACGCCAGCCTCCTTCCCCTTTCTGGTTTTAGCCTCTGTTCCCACAGTAGTCCAGGACCCTCTCCTTCCCACTCTTCACCATTCTCCTGCTCATCCTCCAGGCCACAGTGTAGATGGCCCATCTAAGATGGCATTCCTGCCCAGGCACAAGTCAGCACACTCTCCTGATATGGCCAGAAGATCCTCCCCTTGCTTTGATCACGCTGTGATGCAACATTATGGCTGTGTGCTTGACTCCTTTCCTAGACTGTAAACTTCATGAGGGTGGGAGCCACATCTATCTTCTTCTCCAAGTATATCCCAGGCCCTGGGTACAGTTCAGGGGCCATAAGAAGTGCCCAGTAAATATCTGTTACATGAATAAATAAATGAAAACAGAATATTCTAGATTGTCTCAGCCTTCCCATTTCTACTCCCTCTTCCACTTCAGGTGATCTTCAAAGCTCTGTCAAGTATGATCTGGTATTGGACCCAGGACGCCTGATTTCTCGGGCCATTTTTGATGAGACCAAAAACTGGACTTTGACTCGAAGAAAAACCTTGGGGCTGGGGGATCACTGTGAAACCATAAAGCTGCTTTTGACAGTGAGGAGTTGGGGTTCTGGGAAGGGGAGAGGGAGGAGGGGCCTGAAGCCAGCCTCTAGCATCCCAGCTCTTTGCTGAATGGGGTGGGAAGGGTGAGGATACTAGGGTCAGAGAGAGAAAACTTGGGGCTGGAGACTCCACTGTACAGCTTAGATAGGGTACTGTATGGATGGGGGGAATGGACATAGTGGAGAAGCCTCAGTGGTGGAAAGTAAGGGGAAGGATAGTAGGTTCTGGAAAGTCCATTCTCCCTCAGGACTGCGTGGAGGATGTGATAAGCCCCATCATCCTGCGCCTCAACTTCTCCCTGGTGGGAGAGCCCATCCCCTCATTCCGGAACCTTCGCCCTGTGCTGGCTGTGGGCACACAGGACCTCTTCATGGCTTCTGTGAGTCTTTCAATGAAATCCCAGGGATGTGCTGACTTTCACTGGGTCTCCATGTGCTCAAGAACCCACAGTAGCTCCCAATTGTCTACCAACTACATCAAGTCCAAAATGCCTCCACCCAGGTACCAAGCCCTGTCTAGCTTGGACCCCTGAACACATACTGGCTGGTCACCCCCTTTGCCCCAACATAAACTCTCTGGTTCACATTCTGCAGATCCTTCCCAACTTTTCTGATTCCTACCTCTGTGCCTCTGTCCGTGCTATATCTCTCATTTGGAAAATATTTCCTTCTCTATATCTCAAGAATCCTCTCTAGGCTCGGCGCCTATAGCTCACCGGGCTAAGGCGCCAGCCACGTACACCTAAGGTGGTGGGTTCGAATCCCCAGCCCGGACCCGCCAAACAACAATGACGGCTGCAACCAAAAAATAGCCGGGCGTTGTGGCGGGCGCCTGTGGTCCCAGCTACTTGGGAGGCGGAGGCAAGAGACTCGCTTGAGCCCAGGAGTTGGAGGTTGCTGTGAGCTGTAATGCCACGGCACTCTACCCAGGGGGACAGCTTGAGGCTCTGTCTAAAAAAAAAAAAAAAAAAGAATCCTCTCTAGTCCTCAAACCTCCAAGCTTCTTTGAAAACCCCACTCAGAAGCTGCCACTTCATTTCTGACCTCCCATCACGCCATGGTCTACCAGACCAAATATCACATGGCAGGAATCCTAGCATTCTGCATCTACATTTGTGGCTCTCCTGGGATTGTAGGGTCCTTGAGCCTAAGACCCATGTCTAATTCGCTTGTCTTTTTCACCTTCCCCAAGCTCCTACCCCAACTCCGAACCTGTCAAATTACTGGCACTTAATAATGTTTGTTGCATGTTGTTCCAGGATGAGTTGGATCTGACTCAACGAAACTTTATAGTCCTTGAATCCAAATATCTTGTTTTATTTTTCTTTTATATTCCAACCCCCAAACCCCATCTCCACTCCAGTGTGTAGCAGAGGGCTGGGTGCAGAGGCTCGGTGATAGTGCAGACGGGTGCCTCTGATGAGGGGGTTGGATAAAGTTTAAGACATGAGATGGGAAGGGAATATACTGTTTTGCTGCAGCTCCCCTTTGAGAAGAACTGTGGACAAGATCGCATCTGTGAGGGGGACCTGAGTGTCAGCCTCAGCTTCTCCGGGTGAGCTCGATCGCCTTTCTAGCTTCCGAGTCTCCCAGCTCATTAGCCTGAGGAGGGTTTGCACTTCCCTTTTGGCTTTCTTTCTAACAAAAATGCTTTTTTTCTTTTTCTAAGATTTTGACATTTCTTTTACCTTTTAATTTTTCTCTATTTATGTCATATGTTAATGCCTATATAACAAAAATGAATTTGATTGGAGTGTTCCCCATAGCTCATGAGTTCCCATAATCCCACCCTGCCCTGATCCAATTCCAGCCTATTTCCAGCAGAGTCACACTCTCAGTCCTGTTCTTTGCCCTTTAGCCTGAAGACCCTGGTAGTGGGGAGCTCCCTGGAACTCAATGTGACAGTGACTGTGTGCAATGAGGGTGAGGATTCCTATGGAACTGTGATCAACTTCTACTACCCAACGGGGCTGTCCTATCGATGGGTGTCAGGAACCCAGGTAAGCAACTCCCCTGGGCTCCAGTTGGCTGGGGCCTCTCCTTTGCCCTGTAACTCCCAGATGTATAGTAGTTTCTTTTAAATTCCTCTTCTGTGATGACACATAAACACACAGAGAAAAGTACGTAAAGCATAGGTATAGTTTAACGATTAATATTAAGCAAACCTCCATGCAATTAGCATCCAGATCAAGAAATAAAACACTGCTAGGGCCCCCAGAAGCCCTCCCATCATATACCTTTCCCCATTACAACCCTCCCTCTCCCCAAAGATAATCACTATTCTGACTTTGAGATAATCATTTCCTTGATTTTCTTTATGGTTTTACCATGTGTGCATTCCCAAATGACACTGTTCAGTTTGCCAATATTTGAATTTTATGTAAGTGGAAACATGTAGGTACTCTTTTGCATCTTACTTCTTTCCCTCGATACTGTGTTTGTGAGACTCACCCATGTAGTTGCATATGTCTGTAGAATATTTTCATTGTTTCATAGAATCCCTTTGTATGACTATAATAATTTATCCATCCTATAATTGATTGCTATTTGAATGGGTTCCGGGTTTTAGCAAGACCATTTTTGAGCATGTATCCTGCCGCGCTTATGAGAAACATTTGGGAAGGTGTATAACATGTGGAATTGCTGGGTCAGTGGGTGTGTGTATCTCCAATTTTAAGATGTGAGGGCAAATCATTTTCAAATGTATTTTTGCCTATTTGCACTTCCATCAGCAGCACATGAGAGTTCCGGTGGCTTTCCATCCACTCCAGTACTTGGCAGTGTCAGACGTTATAATTTTTGTCATCTAGTGGGTTAGTAATAGTATTTCCTTAGAATTTTAATTTGCATTTCTCTTATGAGGTTGACCAACTTTTCACATATTTCCTGATAGCTCAGATGTTTTCTTTTAGGAAGTGCCTGACCATGTCTGCTTTCTATTCTTCAATTGTGTTGCCCTTGTTTTTCGTACTGATTTGTCAGAGTTCTTTACATATGCTGGTTACTTGTCCTAGGCCAGCTATATGTGTTCAAATGCCTTTTCTGATCCTAAGCAAGAATTAGACCCCTAGACCAGTGAGCCACCTTTATCTTTTCCAATCCTATTGCTTGTCTTTTCGGTCTCTTTATTCCGTCCTTTAATAAACAGAATGTCTTCATTTGATTGTGGTCGATTTTATCAATCTCCTGCTTTGTATTTAGTGTTTTTGTGTTTGTTCTTATTTAAGAAATACTTCTCTACTCCAAGGTTATGAAAATAATTCCCTGTATTACACATATCGTCTAAAGGCTTCATAGTTTTTCTTTCTCTTTTTTCTTTTTCTTTCTCTTTTGAAGATTGTTTTCAGATGGAGTCTTGCTCTGTTACCCCGTGCAGTGCAGTGGCATGATCATGGCTCACCACAGCATTGAACCCCTGGGCTTAAGGAGTCCTCCCACCTCAGCTACAGGTGCGGAGACTACTGGGACTAGCTGGCACTATAGGTGTGCACCACCATGCTCAGCGGGTTTGGCTTCTCCACACTTTTTAAAAAATTATATATAAATATTGGGTGGTGCCTATGGCTCAAAGAAGTAGGGTGCCAGCCTCATATACTGGAAGTGGTAGGTTCAAACCTAGCCCCAGCCAAAAACTGCAAAATATATATATATTATTTTATCTATTTATTTTTTATTTTTAAAATTTTTTTTGTAGAGACAGAGTCTCACGTTATCAGCCTTGGTAGAGTGCTATGGCATCACAGCTCACAGCAACCTCCAGCTCCTGGGCTTAGGCGATTCTCTTGCTTCAGCATCCTGAGTAGCTGGGACTACAGGCGCCTGCCACAACACCTGGCTATTTTTTTGTTGCAGCTTGGCTGGGGCTGGGTTCAAACCCGCCACCCTTGGTATATGGGGCCAGCGCCCTGCCCACTGAGCCACAGGTGCCACCCTACATATATGTTTTTTATGTTTTGAGAGTCTCACTAAGTTGCCCTGAGTAGGGTGCCATGGCATCACAGCTCACAGCAACCTCAAATTCCTGGGCTTAAGCGATTGTCTTGCCTCAGCCTCCCAAGGTAGCTGGGACTACAGGTGCCCACCACAATGCCCAGCTATTTTTGTTGTTGTTGTTGTTGCAGTTGTCCTTGTTTAGCTGGCCCAGGCCAGGTTCAAACCCACCAACTTCAGTGTATGTGGCTGGCACTGTAACCACTGTGCTACGGGCACTGAGCCTAAATTATATTTTAAATTGTTATTAGTTTTTTCTTTTGAGACAGAATCTCACTCCATCACCCTGGGCAGAGTGCCGTAGCATCATCATAACTCAAAGCAACCTCAAACTCTTGGGCTCAAGCAATCCTCTGCCTCAGCCTCCCGCGCAGTTGGGACTATAGGCATTCACGACTACACCGGGCTAGTTTTTCTATTTTTAGTAGAGATGGGGTCTCATTCTTGCTCAGGTTAGTCTTGAACTCCTGAGCTCAAGCAATCCACCTGCTTCCTCCCAGAATGGTAGGATTGCAAATGTGACCCGTCACACCTGGTCACTTTTTCACACTTAAATCTTTAATCCAGTTGGAATTTATTTTAAGATATGCAGTGAGGTAGGGATCCAATTTCTTTCTTTATCTTTTCTTCTCCTTCTTTCTATTCTTGGCCAGTTTTCCCACCACCATGTATTGAGGAGGCTGTCCTTTCCCCGACTCCTGTGCAGTGCCACCACTGTTACATATCAAGTCCATATGTGCCCATGGGTAACGTTTTTGAATTTATTGTCCTCCCCTAGAAGCAACCTCATCAGCGCCCACTGCGCCTGGCATGTGAGGCAGTGCCCACTGGAAATGAGGGTCTGAGGAGCAGCAGCTGTAGCATCAACCACCCCATCTTCCGAGAGGGATCTCAGGTCAGTGCCTCTCCCAGATCCTCATCACCTCCTTCATCCTGACCCATTCCCTTCCCTCACTCCCCATGACCTTCCCTATCTCCCTTCTTTCTGGCTCCTTCCCTCAGGGAACCTTCATAGTCACATTTGACGTCTCCTACAAGGCAACCCTGGGAAACAGAATGCTTATGAGGGCCAATGCAAGCAGGTGAGTACAGGCAAGATATGGTGTGTCTTCACCCATCAGTCTCATGCCCCAGCTGGAGATTCCTCTCCTGGATTCCTTCCCAGCTGGGTCCCCTTTCTTTTTCCAGTGAGAATAATAAACCTGCAAGCAGCAAGACAACCTTCCAGCTGGAGCTACCAGTGAAATATGCAATCAACACAATAATCAGCAGGTGCTTACTCTCTGGCCCTCCCCTTGGACCTCTGACCTTCCTCCAGGCCTAGTAGCTCCCTCTGAGCTCCATCCTGCTCTTTTGTTGATGTGACCTTCTGATTCTTCACATGGGAATGCTTATGTGGGTAACCAGCCATATATAGTCACATGCCACCTAACGATATTTTGGTCAGTGATGGACCACATATACTATCATGGTCTCATAAGATTATAATAGGGATGAAAAATTCCTATTGCCTAGCAAATATTGTAGCTGTCATAACATCATAATGCAATGCATTCTATTTTCTATATTTAGATACACAAACGCTTATTGTGTTAATTGCCTACAGTGTTCAGTACAGTAATGTGATGTACAGGTTTGTAGCCAAGGAGCAACAGGCTATACCGTATCGCCTTAGGGGTATGGTAAGTTAGACCATCTAGGCGTATGTAAAGTGCACCCTATGATGTTTGCACAGCAATGAAATCACTTAATGATGCATTTTTAGAATGTATTCCCAGAGTTAAGTGATATATGACTATGTACCATAAAACAGGGTATCCCAAAGTTCACCATAAATAGGAAAAAATAACAACATCATATTATATTTTATGTTATAGTTTATATTTTGAATATTTATATATCAACACATAGAGAAATATTTTATAATGAATATTTGGTAAATAAAGGTACATTTAGCCACAATTTCCCTTGTTCCCTCTGTGTGTGTGTATGACAAACTTTGGGACACCCTATATGACATAATTCTTGCTGCTTCTCTGATGAATTGGCCTGCTGGTGGAACGCACATCTTGCCACCTATGTGCATTTTCTCTTCTCCCTCAAAAATGCAGGCTTCCTTTAACATGAAGCCAATCCTGTCCTTTGTGCTTAATATGAACATGCCCAAGCAAAGGTATTAGATTAAGAACAAGCCTCTTGTAAGGCCAGGCCTGGTGGCTCATGCCTCTAATCCCAACACTTTGGGAGGTCAAGGTGGGAGGATCACTTGAGCTTAGGAGTTTAAGATCAGCCCAAGCAACATAGTGAGACTCCATCTCTACAAAACATAGAAAAGTTAGCTGAGTAAGATGGTATGTGCCTGTAGTCAGAGCTACTTGGGGGCGCTGAGGCAGGAGGACTTCTTGAGCCCAAGAGTTTGAAGTTGCAGTGAGCTGTATGATATACTGCACTCTAGCCTGGGCAACAGAGTGAGACCCTGTATTAAAAAAAAAAAAAAGTGATGCACACGCTAAATTAGGGAACTTACTGTACCAAACAGGATATGGTCTGTCACCATACAGAGGAAAGGAAAGGTCAAGTTTCTACAAAACCCAGAGATGGTCAGAGGTGTGATAAACTGTTGGGAAGGTCTCTAAGAGCCCAGGGTTGAGGCAGACCACCGGAAAGGCAAGAATAGGACTGTCGCTCTGGGTTCTGAAGATGGGTTGAGGAGGCAGAGGCAAATCAGGCTAGAAACGAAGCAAGAATCCCACCCGTTGGGCTAAGCTCCAGGGGGTTAGAGAGTTGCTCAGAAGCTTGTGATACTGCCATGGGACAAAGTTTGCTGCTGTTGCTGAGGCTGCTGATGTTATGGATTTTTAGAGGAATAGGGGTGGGGAGATTAAGCCCTTTCAAACCACATGTGTAAGTTTCCCCTTCTATCCACGGGAGAATACTTCTAAGGAGAGATTACAGTTATATATACTTTTGTTGGGCATTGTTTTACGTTGTTGTTTGGGGGATTTTTTGCATTGTTTTAAGTACTTCACATGTATTTACATTCACTTAACTCTATAACTGTAATGTTATCTCTGTTTTTACCAACAAAGAAATCAAGAGATTAAATAACTTGCCCCTGTCATTCACCAAGTGACCAAACCAGGAATCAAAACCAGACGGTTCAGGTGCAGAGCCTATACCATAGCCATATGCCACATGCCTCTCTGAGGACATGGAAAAACTGGGTGACTTACTCAGATTTGAAAGAGGTTTAGAACTATAAGATTTTAAGGTGAGGAAACAGAAGCAGAGAGAGAAGGGGCCAGGGCAGGGAGCAGAGAGGAGGGCTAGCATAGTAAGAGAAAATAATCTCTAACATTTTTGGAGGGCTCACTATGTGCTAAGCACTCCTACAGCCCTCACTGCAGCTCTACTATAAGTAGGCACTATTATTACCATCCCCACTTTAAAGAGGAAAAAAATACAGGGCTCCAGAGAGGTTAAAGTGCTTGCCTCAAGTGGCTCAGGTAGGAAGTGGCAGACCTGGGATGTGAACCCAGGTGGTCTGGCACCAGCCCCTGTGTGTTCTTAGTTGATAGTGGGAATACTCATGGGGCCTGAAGAGTTTCTGTAGTTGGCTGGCTGCGGTGTGCTAGCTGCTGGTAAAAAGGGCAGGCCCCTCCACTTGTCTGCTTGATTCTACTGAGACTTCAGATATTAACCTCTGAGAGGGCAAGGGATTATGGCTTAATCCTGTTGACTGTCCAGGGCCAAAAACACAGTGTTTTTCAATCAGTGTTTTTCAATCTTTTTTATCTCATGGAACACTTGAACCTATAGTTAAACTTTGGTGGCACACTTATGTTGATCAAAAAAAAGAGGAAACAAAGAATATATTTATCTGTTTTGAACATCTTTTAAAAATAATTAATGGTCTTTAAAATTTTTCACAGCACACGGCCTCAGGTGGATGGAAACCCCCCCACAGCCTTGGACACTATGTCCCCTCCATGGGCTTGTGTTCATGCACCACCTTCCTTCACATTTACCTGCTCTGGGGTGGCCTCATCTATTTCCTTCATTTCCACCATGGAGTGGCTCTCACTCCATTTTTTTTCCTGAGCGATCCAGATAGTATTCCCTAGATTCCTCTTCAGCTTATTTGTTCTGGCTACAGTCTCTGCAAGTATTACCTGAGACTAACCCTGTACCTTCTGGACACAGCAACATGGATGCCCTTTTCTCATAGGAAAATGTTTACACCTTAGGAAAGGGGATGTTTAAGTTGGGCTTCTAAGTGTAAATTTCCAGAAGGGATTTGGGTAAGAACATTCCAAGCAGAAGAAAGAGCTTGAGCAAAGTCATGCGGGTATGAGAGAGCCAAGGGTGTCAAGCTCAGAGCTAGTGGCTCTGGGTAACTGGGGCATAGGATGCTATGGGAAGGAGGGCTGAAGCTAAGGCTATAGAGGTATGTAGGACTGTCATTGTTTCCCTGAGTCAGCTGCCAGGGCACAACTGGGAAGTCAGGGCTATGTTTCATCAGCAGGCCTTCTCTCTCCAGGCAGGAAGAATCCACCAAGTACTTCAACTTTTCGACTTCCGATGAGAAGAGCAAGAAAGAGGCTGAGCATCGATACCGCGTGAGAGGCTAGGGAGTATCCGTGTCTGCTCTCCCCTGGGACAGATAAAATTGGAAGTTGGTGGGGAAAGATGGAGAGAAACCTCGGGCCAGGGCCAAGAAAGAAATGAGATTTGGGAGGCACCACAGACCTCAATAATGCTCTGTCTAAATTTTCTGCAGGTGAATAACCTGAGTCAGCGAGATCTGGCCGTCAGCATTCATTTCTGGGTTCCCATTCTGCTGAATAGGGCGGCCGTGTGGGATGTGACTATCGAGGCCCCTCCACAGGTGCCTGCCTGCCTTTGCTCCTTCTCCAAAGTCTGATCCCACAGCACCGCACACTTTCTTTCCAGCAAAATGTTGACTGTTCTGTGACTATTTCTCTCACTCCCTAGAGTCTCCCCTGTGTGTCAGAGAGGAAACCGCCCCAGCATCCTGACTTCCTCACCCGGATTCCAGGGAGTTCCACGTTGGTGAGAAAGGCCCTGAACCCCACTGCAAGACGGGCCCATGTTGGGGGATACAGGGAAATGTACTGCTAGATTGCCGAGTTAGGTGCACAGCCCACAATTGTTCCTCTGTTTCCCACCCCAAATCTGACAGATGTTATTTTCTCTTATAATTCTTCTCTAAGTGAGAACCCTCACCAACCTCATTCCTCTCCCGTCCCCAGGACTGCTCCATTGCTGACTGCCTGAGGTTCCGCTGTGACATCCCCTCCTTCGGCATCCAGGAGGAACTCGACTTCATCCTCAAGGGCAACCTCAGCTTTGGCTGGGTCAGCCAGGTGTGTAGGCCCAGCGCGGCCCCGCCCCCAGACCCAGGTGCTGCCTGATGTGTCTGTGCCCGTCCTCAAGCCAGGCCAGTCCTGGACTCTGAGCATCCCCCAGAGCCAATCCACAGGCTGCCCCCACCCCTCTCTTTTGAAGACATTGCAGAAGAAGGTGTTGGTCGCGAGTGTGGCCGAAATCACATTCGACAGATCTGTGTATTCCCAGCTTCCAGGACAGGAGGCGTTTCTGAGCGCCCAGGTAGTGACTGTGTGGGAGGCAGTGGTCGGGCTGGTAAGGGGGGTCCTGGGAGCAGAAGGGGTGAAGGTCTCTGGGCAGGACAGTTGTCTCTAAGAACATGCGTGCTTCTGCATTTCACCCCTTGAAGCAGGGCCTGGGGAAGGGTGGGGGGTGGTTAAAGGTTGAGGAACCTGGGAGGACTCTGTGACAGCAGGAGGCCTGGTGCTTTTTGACGGGGTCATCTCTCCTCTAGGTAAAGACGGTGCTAGAGGAGTATGAGGTGCACAACCCCATCCCCCTCATAGTGGGCAGCTCTGTGGGAGGTCTGCTGCTGCTGGCTCTCATCACAGCTACACTGTACAAAGTGAGTATTTTGGTCCCACTCTCCCCATCACCAGCATCCAACCCAAGCCCTCCCACAGACAGGATGGTACAGTGAGAACTCAGACTATGGAGTCAAACAGGCCTGAACACACACATTGTCTCTATCACTTACTCACCATTTCCTGGTAGGCAAGTTGCTCAACCTCTTTGAACTTTTTTCTCATTTTTGAAATGATAATAATTCTTTCATCACTGAACGGCTAAAGTAAGACAGAAATGAGGCTAGGGTATGTGCACAGACCTGCCTGGCTACAGAATTTCTGCTTTCCTGCTACAGATTATGCATATAATTGTGCCTGACACACAGTAGATACCCAATATGTGACGGCCACTATTTACAGAAAAGTTCTGACACACGAGTATGTTCTCCCCTTCTTTCCCAGTTTCTTCCTACTCCCAACTTTCTTCTCTGGCCTCCAATCCAGCTTTTCTAACTTATTTTCTCTCCTAGCTTGGCTTCTTCAAACGACAGTACAAAGAAATGTTGGGTGACAAGCCTGAAGACACTACCACTTTCAGTGAGAAGGATTTCAGCTGTGAGACTTAAAATTTGCCTTTGTCCCAATTATCCACTTTCCTGTTCATCTCTACCCCACGCACTGGCCTTGCCTCCACCTGTAAATCTACTTCTTCTGTGCAAACAATTTCTGCATAGATCATGGCCTGGCCTGAACAGCCTATCAGGTGCTAAGCCAGCTTTGCAAAGGGGTAGAGATTTCTTTGTTTTTACATGTCTATTCAGCTTCTTCAGTAATGACCCACCTTTTACAGAAGCAAGCGTGATGCCAGCATAAATTTTCATATATATAAGAATTGGCACATTAAACAAGGATGTTTACAACACATTTCCCTTGTATGGAAGAGCTCTAATTCAGGAACCTGAGTATTGTTCTAGTAATAGATGGGGGAGTCTATTTGTGGCTACAGAAAAAGTTCCCTCACTTTCTCAGCTGACAGGGGCTTGAGATTTTTTCTGTTGTTGTTGTTTTTTGGGTTTTTTTTTTTTTTTTTTGAGACAGAGTCTCATTCTGTCGCCCTGAGTACAGTGCTGTACTGTCACAGCTCACAGCAACCTCAGACTCTTGGGCTTAAACAATTCTCTTGCCTCAGCCTCCCAAGTAGCTGAGACTACAGGCACCCACCACAACACCCAGCTATTTTTGTTTTTTTAAGTTGTAGTTGTCATTGTTGTTTGGCGGGCCTGGGCTGGATTCAAACTCACCAGCTCCAGTGTATGTGGCTGGCGCCTTAGCTGCTTGAGCTACAGGCACCAAGCTGGGTTTTTTCTTGATGGTGCTGAGTAGTATTAGGCGAGAGAGTCAAAGGAAGTGTGTGTGTGCATGCATAAGTTAGTCTTGGGTTTCAGCACAGGCTTCAGGTTCCTTAATAATGGCAAGGGAGTAGACCATCCTAGGAGGTGACTGAAATGTTTGGAACTCATTTGAACCCATGTTCTCCCTGAACAGGGTCTCCTTAAGCCAAGAGAGCCAGGCTTCCAGAAAGGAGCATTTGGTTTCCTAAACTAATAAAGAAGACCCACTAAAGATGTTTGAAATCAGGGTTATCTATCTCCAGCTAGCCAGGATTCACAGATGCTGTCGGATCAGACAGTGTGTGGCAGATGTGAAGCCAGGAGAACCAGCCTTCCAGAAAGGCTCCTGGATACTGCAGGGTCTGCAGCCCTGCGTCCCCAGGAGGCCTCTGGTGAGCCGCCTGAACAAGTCATTTAGTCACTGAGACTCTCTGATTCCTCCGCTGGAGAAGAGGAGCCAAAATTACACCTTGCTCCTAGAGTTACTGTGAGGATTCAGCATGTATGAAAGCCCTTTACAGCCCAGATTCCTAACTGTTAAAGATGAGTGTGTGTGTGTGTGTGTGTGAGAGAGAGAGAGAGAGAGAGAGACCTAATTATTAATAAGTGAGAGAGAGGAAGCTGGGATGCCTACCTGTTCATGAAGGAGGACACCTCATGCACCTCAAGTCAGCGACTTGAGAAAAGCACGTGGAGCACTGTGCGCGTGCGCATAGTAGCGGCTGTGAACACCAGTTGGTGTCGCCCCACGGCCCCAGCGCGACCCACCCTCCACAATGAGCCTGCAGACACAGTTTCCACATCTTTATTGTTCCCTGGGGCGCCCACCGAGGCCTCAGGGGCGTTCGTAGCCCGTGGGCAGAGGGTTGACGCGGGGATTGTGGAAAAGAGTATGGTTGCCGTCCCCCCAGCAGTAGGGCTGTGGAGAGAGGGGAGAGGGGGAGCAGGGTGTCAGCAGCGTCCCGGCTTGAGGGTTCCCGGAACACCCTCGCCTGTCCGCTGGCGCGGTGGCCCCGCTGCTTACCTTGGTGCGGATCCGGAGGTGGTGGTAGGGGATGAACTCGGGGCGCTCGTGGTGGCCCGAGTGGAGCCAGCAGTTGAGGGTGCAGAGGGCCACGCTCGGGAGCGCCAGCACCAAGGTCAGGAGGCGCCAGGTGCTGGCTGGGCGGGATTGGGGGGAAGGCAGGTGAGAGAGAAGCGGGAGTTCATGGGGCTGGAGGTCTGCGGGACAGTGGGCAGGTGGTGGGCGTCTCCAGGACCCAGGAGGCCCAGTGGGAGGTGTGGGGGGAGGAACACGTGGGCAAGGTCAGGTAGCCGCAGAGTCAGGCTGCTCCCCACTCACCTCCTGTCCCTCCATGCTCTCCCTTGGCTGCGCTTGCCAAGCCCCGACTCAAGGACCTCAGAGGCAGAGCCATCGCGGTGGGAAAAGCTGCGACCACGAACACGGCACTGTCCTTGCACTCTCCTTCACTGAGGCCTAGGTTCTCCTCCCCTCCTTTTAGGCCAATCACCTGTTGAGGCTGGAACATACATGAGTGGCTATTTTTAGGGTCTTTCTATATTTAAAATCGGGCCTGACTGGCAGAAGGTCCTTTCCAGACAGCTGCTATACTGCGCCTCTTAATTTAGCAAGGGGACATTTAAAGAACAATATGCCATTCTTTTCTTTTATAGTTATGGGGAACTATTTTGTTCTATACCTTATTCCTAGTGGTTGGCCCAAGGCAGGTAGGCCTTGAATGAAAGAATGAATGAAGTTTCTTGAGTTTCAGTTTTTTCAACTGTAAAATGTATAATAATTTGGCTCGGCGCCT